CTAGTGCAAGTGGGAGATTGTTGGAAATGTGCCCTAAAACCAATCATATGATGATACTTTACGGACATTTCAAACTAATGTAGATCATTTCAAACTAATGTAGTTTAAATGTAAAGGGCAAAGATTATTGTTTGAGCCGTCTAATATAAATGTTATATGCTTAAACGATAAGTCCAAGGAATATGTGATTGGAAGAATGCGATCTAAAGAAGTTAGATTCATGAGACCATTCTTTCGTTGACACATCCTAAACGTTCCTGATCATAGGATTGTCAATTGGGCATTGACAGTCCGTTAAGATCAGTACGTGCTATGTCTTCTCTCAGGGAGAGTGACTAGTCTCGAGTCATTGGTGTGTGTGACATCAAGACAAGTACGTAGGTGCTCAATAGAGAATGAGTTCACTGAACACGATCAACGAAGAGTTCTCATATTCATGTCACATGAGAACTCATGGTTGGGATAATGCAAATTAGTCTTTTGACCTGAGGCATCACAGTTGTCTTGTGGTTAGGTCCTTAATCTTTGATTATGTCAACGTCACTCTATCAGGGTGTCCACGGCATCGTTGGGGTTAAGCCACTTAGCCATGGAGGCAAGTGAATGCGCAACAAGGGATCTCTAACCTTCAAACTATTTGAGGGAGAATACTCTATGATATGATTTGGAATCTCTGGCCAGAGTATGAATGAGATGTTGGAATGCGTTCCAGATCACATTCAAGGTAATCATATAAGTACAAGATTCACATTGGATAGTAGACATGAATAAACTATCAAACCAAACAATGTGGTCAAGAGTATTGTATTAGAGAAAGATCGTATTGCATTTGTAATCCTAAACTGAATAGGTTCTCCACCTCTTCTGATTAGCTTGGGTAACCATGATATGCTGCTAGGTGTCACTCATGGTTTGTGGAAGCCCTAAAAGTGTATTATCACTAACGGGAGAATTGAAAGTAAGTTTCAATTCACAATCGATTTGAAAGAGTTTGAATCGCCCACTGCCTCGCTAAAAGGAACCTAATGGATCGTACACCGTGTAAGGTAGAGTTTGAAGATTCAACGGAGATGAGTAAGAATAATTAAATGGTTTAATTATTTATGGCAAGGATTAATTAATATGATTATTAATCAAACGAATAAGTTCGTTGAAGACCTCGGGATAGTTTTGGACCTTAAGGCCCAATGGGCTTCGAACGTCAAGTCCATTGACTTAAGTTGTATGACAACTTAATGAATAATGATTCACAAAGGCCCAAATAGCCCAATTAATCCCCATAGGCCGGCCATTTAGAGGAGGGTAGTGAACTTGGCTCAATTGCAAGTTTGCCACTCCATTGTGAGGTGGTATAAAGACATCTTTATAGCCATTTCATCCTTAGGGTTTTCTAGGGAGTAAAGATGAGAACACAAACCTCCCTTTGCTCTCAAAGAGGCCGGCCAATCTAGAGGGGAATAGCTAGCAATCTTACTTCCTCTAGGTCACTCATTTCTTCTACAATATACCTTGGTGTGGAGACTTGGAGGTTCTCAATTTTGGGAACTTGGAGAAACCTTTTCATCCATCCAAATCCATGGATCCAAGATGCAAGGAATGAAGGCCCTCTCTTTGGGTGATTAGCCTTTGCTTATGCAAAGAGGAATCTACAAAGGTATTGATTTCTCAACTCACTTTGTTTTGAGTTGAGTCTTGGTTCACCTATCTACTAGGCTTTGAATTTCATGGGTAAATGTTTTGTTTTAAGTGCATACAAGCATGATTCCGCCTTTAATTGTTAATTGCATGCTATTGATGTTGCTTAAATGAACATGTTTTTCACAAATTTTCCTTCATAACGTCCATCCTTTTCTAATGGCTCGTGTTGCACGGGTTCTTCGGTGGTTTCATGAGCACAATATATTTGTGTTTTGAAATTGTTCATCGCGTTTGGCTCATATTCATCAACGACATCATAATCGTACTCATCTTCCACAATCATGTTGTGAAGAATGATGCACATCATCATGATGGATCGAAGTGACTCTAAATCAAACATTCTGACAGTACCCTTGACAATCGCCCAGTGAGCTTAGAGGATACCAAAACAATGCTCCACATCCTTCTTGCACCCCTCTTGACAGCTTGCAAAGTGTTTTTCCTTTGCACTTCGAGGTCGTGACACTGTTTTGACAAACGATGACCACCTTGGGTAAATGCCATCTACTAGGTAGTATGGCCCGTAGTACTTATGTCTGTTGACTTAGTATATGACTCTTGGTGCTTTTCCTTGCAGAACATCATTGAACATTGGGGATTGGGTAAGAACATTGAGGCCATTTTGAGCTCTCGAACTCCAAAAATGGCGTGCCAAATCTATGTATCAAAAGATGTCACCACCTCCAAATGATACTTTTTGCTCATTTTCTGTCCCCATAAGTGCCTTGCCATGCACTTGAACAGTTTTTTCAAGTCCAGTGCATATAGTCGATGCTTCCAATCATTCTAGGAAAACCTCGCATCTCGGCCTTCTTCAGAAGCCTTTGCAAGTCCATCTCAGTACGTCTCCGGAGGTACTCTATAGTGTAGATAAATTCGATTGCTCTGCAAAACCTTATCAAGGACTCAAGAATGGTTGATTTCCCCATCCTCGCTATCTTATCCACTTGGTCTGCAAATGCTCCATATGCAATCATCCACAAGGCAACTATAATTTTTTACTCAGGAAGGAGACCCATAACACCAAAAGCATCATTGTTTTGCACAAAGCAAGAATCATGGTTGCAAACAGCAATCATGATTTTGTTGAACAAATGTCATTCCATTCTAAAACAACGTCTAAAGTACGTATCAAGGAATGCACTGTTACGGACAAAATAATCGTCCAAGAGATCCGTACCTCGTCGTTGCCTGCTTCTATCAAGGTTTACTGAACGGCTGGGCCTGTAGATCTGAGCCATAACTTGGATGACTTGACGGGAATGTGAGGCTCTTGCCATTCTTGCTTCGTCATCTCTCCTTCTACGCTCCTCATCCTCTTCCATCTCATTTTGAGCCACCTGGAGATTGAACATTCCTTCTGATTGGTTAAACAATTCTTCCTCTTGGTGATCGATTTCCCACATCATCCTTAAAGAAGAAGACATTGTAAGAAGAAAGTAGAAACTATGAATAATGATACATATTTTGATTTGGGTGAAGAAGGAAGCAGAAATTATGAATAATGATAGAGATCTTTAGAAAATTGGTGTGAGATTTTTTAGAATGGATGGTGGATTATATGGAGGATTCAGAAAGGATTAGGTTGTAAATAATGCCCCGTGGCATGTCGTCATTAGTTAAAATCTGATCGAAATCTATTCTCAAAGATTTTAAACAGATTGTGACACGTGACGCAACGTGATTGGTTAAAAATCTTATCAGAAATCTATTCTCAACGATTCTAAAAAGGTAACGACATGTGGCACGATGGCATTGGATAAAAATCTTATCGAAATCCATCACCAATAATTGTCTTTTCGGATAATGACACGTGTCACAACAAGAACGAATAAAAATCTTATCCGAAATTACAAATAAAATTATTTTGTATTATTTTATAAATAAAAAAAATACTAATATTTTATTGCCTATTGCTAGGGCTATTCAGTGTAGGGATAGAGATGCAAAAGACAATTACTGTTCATTAAGTGCAGTTACTGTCACTGGATGAATTAAATGGTGAATAGCTCTGGGGCCTTTGTAAGACTATCTCCAATGGTGACCTAAAACCTAAAAATATTTAGTCCAAAAAATTTAGGTTTTAGCTTAGAAACAGTTTTTCTACTCTAACCCTTATGGCCTAAAATTTTAGCCCGAGATTATCAAATAATGAATTAAGGCTATTTTTTTTAAATTAACTTAAAAAAAATTATTTAGACTATCCTAAATTAATTATATGAACATTTTAACCTAAAAATATTTAAATTCCGATAAATTTTCAAAAATCACTAAATCAATACATGAAAATCATGATAAACCACATAAACTTAATACAAACGGCATTCAATAAACCACATAAACTTAATACAAATGACAATTAATAAACCACATAAACTTAATACCATCGAAAACTCATAAACTACGTAAACTTAATAATGATATCCACCATCTTGACTTGGTGATGGACTTGGGTGATAGTCTTGAGATGAATCATCATCTTGAAATATACTCATTCGTAAAATGTCATTTTGCTTACCATGTAAGTATTTCTTCCTCTATGGAGTGTATTTGTTGAGGTCTTCCATCATCAAATTAACTTCGAACCTTTCTTGCTCCATATCCCCTTCTTCCTTCATGGCCAAACGCATTTGGGCCGATTCTTCTTGCCGAAAGATATGGTTTTCGTTTAATCTTACCATTTCGCTAGCAAATTATGCACATATTGGATCTTGGGACTTCCTTTTTCTCTTCGCTTCCTTTTCCTTATCTCTACCCGGTAGCCTTGCAAAAGAAGAAGTTGGGGTCATTTGTTCGACACTTTCATTGTCTGTAAAATTCACACTTTCATTGACATCATTTAGGGGTAGGACTTCACCATGAAATAATCTTCCACATTGTTGGTTCGCATCGGTTCCACATTGTTGGGTCATTTGTTTGGCACCTTCATTGTCGGCAAAATTCTTACCTCCTTGCTGTTATCGAACGTATCGCCAATGCTTTGTCCTTTTCTCTTTCTCCTCTTTCTCTCTGCAACATCAAATGGACCAAAATCCAAAACCCTAACTGAACCTAATCGCATAATCATAGAGCAACCTACCTCCCCAAAACAATGTCATTCACTTGCCACTAGCTCTTTGTAAATCCACCTTCTCGAGCTCGATTTGCCCTTTACATCACCAACGCTTCTTTTCCCAAAACCCTCGCCATTCTCTCTCTCCCAATCACCACTCGCCGGCGTTTCCCAAGCTCAAACCACAATCCCGTGAATCCCCAAACTTTTAGTTGCCATCAATTTCATCTCCGAGTTTACAATTTCGAAGCCGCTCTGCAACCAAACGACTCCGTCAGTGGTGCTTTCAATTTGGACTATTTCTTATCGATTGCAGAGTTTTTGTGCATTGCGTCATCGGCGGTTGTTTCGATGGGTTTCGTTGTGAATTGCACGGCTATGAGCTTAAAGAAGACATCTTTTGTGGCAATGGGGAACTGGGGTTTAGTGTTTGGGGCCCTGGCATTGGTAATGGCTGTTGGGATTGGGGCGTGGATTCGGTGGCTGCAATGGAGGCGGATATGCAGGGAGTCGGTGAAGGGCGGGATAGAGGTGAATTTGTTTGAGAGAATTGAGAAATTGGAGGAGGATTTGAGGAGCTTGGCCACAATCATTTGGGTCTTGTCAAGGCAACTTGAGAAATTGGGGATAAGGTTTTGGGTTAAGCCATCTCTAACCGAGGGCTGACCAGATGGCTCGTTTTAACCCTCTGGCCCTCAAAGATTCTTCAAGATATTAATATTTTAATGAACAGTACATGGCCATATTTGCCTCCGTCTCCAACAGAGGGCTAGAGGGCTCGTTTTAACGCTGCCACAAAAAACCGTCTCCAACTTAGGGCCATAGGGCCAAACATAATTTATTATTTAAAAACTACAACTTAAATTCAAATCCAACGACTAAGTGATGTCAGCTATCCGTTGGATTTGAAATTTTCTTTTGCTATAAATAGGGTGGATATTGGGCTATAATTCACACAACTTTGAATTCAATCTATTTCAATTCAATCTCTTTCAATTCAATCTTTTTCAATTCAAGTTTGCAATGAATTCCAACTTTGGATCCTCTTCAGATTCCAACTGGGGGTCCTCATCCAATTCCAAATTGGAAACAAAATGGGCGCAAATGAGATGAGAAGATGAGGAGTCTGATGAAGAAGTTCAAGTAAGGTGCAACAAACAAAACATAGCAGCAGCCATGGTGTGTCAGCCAATTGAGGAATAGCCTCAATGAGGTGGCTCTATTGCTGGTCGTTCTTACAAACCACGAAACAGAGTGATGTCGCATGCCAATTTGATGAACAACTACTTCAACCCCAACTCGGTGTACACAGAAGAGGATTTCAGACGTTGCTTCCGGATGAGGCGTCATGTCTTCGAGTGTTTACTTCGTGATGTCCAGCAAGTCAATCCATACTTTCGACATAAGCGAGACAGAGCAGGCCGCCCTGGTTTCTCACCTCATCAGAAGGTTACTGTTGCACTTCGAATGATGGCCTATGGCTCCCCAGCTGATTCGATGGATGAAACCCATGGTATGTTTGAGTCTACATGCCTTGATATTCTTCAACAATTCCATGACACAATTGTTCAAGTTCACAAAGACGAGTACCTCCGCGAGCCAAATCAAGAAGATCTGAATCGACTCCTTCGCAAAGCTGAAGACCGTGGGTTTTTGGGCATGATAGAGTCATTAGATTGCATGCATTGGGATTGGAAGAACTGTCACATCGGATGGCAAGGAGGCTTTAGCGAAAGGTCGAGAAAGCCAATTGTTGTGTTAGAGGCGGTTGCCTCATATGACACATGAATTTGGCATGCTTTCTTTGGAGTCCCTGGATCCCAAAATAACATTACAGTTCTTGGTATTCTACAAGCACGGTGGAAGATTATTAGCGAACCGGCAAGAGGGTGGAATCGAGAAAATTTGGACTCCATCATGATGTCTTGCATCAAATTACACAATATGATAGTGGAGGATAAGCAAGATGGGTATATTGATGGAGAGTCCGATGATGACCAAGAAGATCCAAATAGGTCAAGAAGGTCTCGTGCAAAAATATATGATAGGCCTAATTTGCCTTTTAATCCAAGAACTGGTAGTATCTCTATAAATGATTACATGAGGCGCTATAGAATGATACGTTCTCGTGCCACAAACAAGTACCTACAACATGATCTTGTTGCACATCTTTGGGCCAAAAGAAACACGGAGTAGGCGTTTAAGTTTTATGTTGTTAAATGTTTTTTAAAATGTTGTTTAAGTTTCATGTTGTTAAATGTTTTTTTTTTATGTTGTATAATTTGTATGTTGGTTAATGTTATTTAATGTTATTTCATATTGTTTAATGTTGTTTCATGTTACTTAATTTAATTTAATGTTGTATAATGGCTTAGGAAGTTATAAGAAAAAAATATAATTTAAAAAAAATATGAAACAAATTTTGTAAAATAAAAGTTATAGAAAAAAATAGAATTTAAAAAAAATATTAAAAATAGAAGTTATAGAAAAAATTTTGTAAATAAAAAATAATAATAAAACTATATAAAAAAAAATTCAAATGCAACGGCTAGCTGACGTCAGCTAGCCGTTGCATTTGAATTTTTTTCTTAAGCATTCATGTCGGTTATAACCGATAGGAAAATTGAATTTTCTAGCCAGCCCTCCAACCCTCTAGCCCTCTCCGATTCCGTGGGACCCTCTCAGATTCCAGAGCCCTCTAGCTTAGCCCTCTGTTGGAGACGGTTTTCGGGTTATTTTCGGCCATCTGGACCCTTCGGTTGGAGATGACCTTACCGTAAGGCTTTGAAGGAGCCCATTGCCGAGGTAATTTCAAATTTTGGATGATTCATGAGTTTGGCATACAGTTTTCTGTTTATTTTAATGTACACGACCTTTTCGGAGAACTACTGTTTGATATAAAAAAGAAAATACTTGAATTTTTTTACGAGAATTTGCCTTTCTAGTTGGAATGTAAATTGCTTGCTTTAGAAATTTGCCTTTCTCACGGGAAATGTATAAATTTGATAAGAGTGTTTGATTATAGTTTAGTGGGTTAAGGTTGATTATAGTTTAGTACAAAGGCAAAAATGATATGAGGTTATAGTTTTGTTTGAGTTTCTGTTCATAACTAACACGTAGTAACTCCAATATGACATGATTAGTGTGTGTATTGGTTTAATTTTTGGTTATCTTACATACTAAACTAAACCTTTTGAGTTACTCTTGACTAGTACTTGATACGAACCCAAAATGTCATAGCTCCAATGCGATGGAATATACCTTGATTGCACATTTAATAGTTGTATCGATTGAGTTATCTGTTACTTTTCAAGTTCCCTACATAGACTAACCTCTGAGGGAATACAAGAATATGTGATACACAGTATATGGTTAAGTTAGTGACTATTTGATTGGGAGCTTTGTGCTGTTGGTTTCTGAATAACTCATTTTGTTATTTGTCAAATTGTGGAAATTATAGTATATGCTCACTTTTGGATCTTTCATCTGTCTGTGTCCAATTGATTGAGTTTTCTCCACCCAAATGTTCAATACAATGCCCATAAATGTGAAGTATCTTAAAAAGATTGAGATTGGTTATTTTTATTATTGGAAGGTAACATGGTTAGAATATGTTCGTTATAGCTCAGTAGGATTAAACTCCTTGTTCGAAGGGTGTCTAAATTTTGTGTATTACATCACCACACCCTTGTTGGTTTTATTCTGTCTATAATCGCCACCACTTTCATTGATTAATTGGTTATCATTTAAGTCAAAATTTGAAGTTACTTGTGGAAACCCGTCATTCCCTGTTTGTTTAACGCCTTTGTTTGTTTCTGTCATCATTAAGCGCAAAATAAGGGTGAAGTCCATCATTCTAACTTGCATCAGGCTAGTTTTGGCACATTGCAATAAGTTTGTGTGAATGATAATATTGGCATGTGCCTACGATTTCAGGTACATGTTTATTTTCTGGGCAGGTTATAGTTTTGCAGTACTTGTATATCTCTTAGAGTCTCTGCACAAAAGTGCTCCTGAGTTCAAGACTCTCCTAACTGCCCCCCAAAGAAAAAAGGGAAAAAAGAAGCTAATATCTCTTTGAACATATGGCATCTGGTATATGTTATTTACTCAATTTTGGTCCCTTGAAATTTTTAGGGCAGATAACATTGGATGTAATATCTGTATGGTAACTGTATTCTAGTGGATACTTAGCATGTTCCCAATCAAGTATGAGTAACGGTTATAAACAAAGGAAGATTGTCGTGTATGGGTATATGCTTGGCCCAACTGCTGAATATGCTAGGATTCTTTTCATGAAGAATAATAAAAGAGATCTGTAAAATAATAACAGCTATTCAGAATTCCCTAGTTCTGTGGTGATCTGTACAAGTAAAAGAGGCAACCCATTTCATCGTCATCAGTATGTTTGCCTGGTGACCAAATCATATTTTCAGGCTTTTTAGCTACTCTCTCCCCACATCCAAAAAAAAAAAAAAAAAAAAAAAGCGAAAACTGACGAAAAGTTCAAAAAAACTTTAGTTTTAATGAAAAATGACAAATAAAAGTGTAGTGAATAGTACCAGGAAAAGGTAAAAATATGGTTTTTCGTTAAAAGTGAACAGTATTGAGAGTGTTTCGTTAAAACTCCCAAAAAAAAAAGGGACGAATTGTTCTCCTTTCCCTGCATGACCATTAATCATTGTGGAATGTCGAAGTTCATATCCATGCAAACAAAGACACTCAAAGACTCAAAGTCAGAACCCAGTGAAGAACTTGGAATTTGGTTCTGTTGAATCTATTGTAGCTCCTGAAATAATTTTGTCGAACTGTAGACCATTTTGCAGCTGATTAGAACATGTTTAAGGAACTTTGGACACCTACTGGCAGATGCAAGATAGTGTGGGTAATGATATCAGATAATATTGCAAGATGCTTATCTTGTACATCATCTAACTAGTTTGTTGTTTCTGAAGACTGCAGCTTTGGCTCAAAAGAATTCTTAGGCCACTCGAGCATTAGCAGCACAAGAAGACATTTTGGAAAAGGAGCTTGGAGAAATTCAAAAGTTTTTGCTGGCTATGCAGGTGAGTGTTCTCCATTCCCGGGTGGTGGATAAACAGAATGTAGAGTTTTCAGGTTTCTTCAGTATGTAAACTTGAGAATTGACTGTTTTCAATGATTTTGGGAATAATATATTAACTTCCATTAGTGATTCAGCTGGTAGAAAAAATCGTTGATTAGTTTGGTTATTATCCCTTCTACAGCTAAAATGCCAAGGTTAATGGACTTTCTGAGTGTTTCCATCTGTTTGTGATTGGACACTTATTTTCTTTTCAAATCTGTCATGAATTCCCTTGGTTAGCAAAAAAATATTTATTTATTGTGAGGTCCGATTTAATAGTTCTTGGTCTGTGAAGATACGTTGTTAGGTGCTCCGTTTTATTTTCCCATTGAGGCCGAACGTTTCACCAATTGTCATATGCAGGAGCAGCAGCAAAAACAACTTGAGCTAATTCTTGCAATTGTGACTTCTGGGAAGGTTCGGGAAAGTAGACAGGTACGCAACCATGAACAAAGTACCACCATAGTACGGTTAGTACCTAATTCAAGCGAGGAGGATTCAAAACAGAAGGAAGCCCACCAAATAGTCTTCGGATGGAAGCAATGCAGACTTCCCAAGGATTTTGAAGCCACAAATTCTCATGTAATCAGTATTCCAACATTGTTAATCACAAGCCAAATACGTGGGTCTGTATTCCTCTCAAACAATTGTCGATGCAGCTTTGTCACGGGGGCTATCGGGTTTTCAGCCAGGAGAAAAGTTTCTTAGGCTTGCTGGATGTATGCAGTGCTGGGTGGTAAAGGATAATCAACAAAGAAAGTATAACTGTAAAACAGAAGTGCAACCATTTGAGCGTACAATTGTAGGAATAAGGTAGGAATGTAATTTCCCCTCGCTCGTGTTCTGTAATTGTCAGCTGTGCAGTCATCCTATTTCTTGTCACAGTTCATATATTTCTGGTTTGCAGGTTCATCTTGGTCTCGTGTAGTGTTGTCGGCTTCTAACCAAATCTTCAAAACCTGATTATCTCAGAATGTTTGGCCCCTATATCGGTTAGTGTGAGGCTTACCTGGGTCAAACTTTGAGGCGTTTGATGATCATTTCGTTTTTAATTTTAATTCTCTTTTTGGTTAGACGCAGAGATGAGAGAAATGAGTGCTGGTCCTGAACTCAACCACTAGTGCAATACTCAAGTGGACCAATGCCCAATTTACCTAGTTTTATCTTGACATATCATGGCCCAAATTTTCCCACCACGTCCCTTTTGCTAGTATCAGCCCAAGCTACACCAACACTCTCCACTTCAAGAAATTTATATACATAAAAAGAGTAATACGCGAGAATAGTTATTAGCACTACAATACAAAAATAGCTTTTATCACAACAAAGTTATCATACATTCCTTATTTTTTTTTTCTTTATGGATAATACTAGACTACACAAGGATCAATATGAATTTATACTCAAAATTCTGTGGATGAGTCATAGAACTTTGTGCTTATAAGTGAAACCAGTAACCAATCATTTTATAAATCATTATGTAAAGATCATCTTTGCAAACAAAAAAAAAATCAATTCAATAAAACTAAGGGCATTTAGCATTAAATTATGGTAAATAAATAAACGATTCATTTCTTTTGGTCAATCAACTAAAGTGGTTTTTTAAAATGTATTATTTTATTAAAGAGAGGGGGCCCACCCCTAATTTTTAAGTTCTTCTTATTTGTATTGTTCATTGCAAGTTCTTTACGACGCCGTATGAGCAGCCTTCTTCTAGCGCGGGTGGCAGTTCACGAAGCCCTGCAAGTACAGAGAATACTAGTCCGCTACTTCCAGAGAGAATTTAAGTGCGAAAGAGATGGACGAATTGAGGAAACTGGAAGATGTCCAGAGAATGCTGACGTTTTTACAATCTCGAGGCCTTGTAACGACGTCGTCGCATGACGACTCGAGTTCCTTTCTCGCCAAGCTCATCCTCTTCCTGGTATTCTTCCAACTTTTGTTCCTTCCAACATTTTTAATTTTCAAGTTTTAAATTCAATTATTCACCTTTAGTTTTTAATATAATTGTTTTGCTTAATTTTACGTAGGAACTAAATTTTATTAATTTTGTGATTAATTTTATTTTTGGAAATGGTATGGCAAAAGGTACAACCATGTGGAGAGCTTGATTTGGGGAAAAAGTGCAGTTTGGTTTCAGAATATACGCCAAAGGTAAGCACTGTATTATGATTATCTGATTTTGTTTAACTTTTGGATATCATCAGAAATAGGGTGTGCTTATTTTACTTGTTTCACAGATTTCTGCTGCATTTCTCAAGGAAGCATCCAAATGCATTACCGGCAAAGGTAAACACCCCCGTACATTGTGAATTCGACACTTAATTGATTTCCGTTGCGTTAATAGGATCCGATATTTTGAAAGATAATCTGATTATTGGAGCAGGTTAATGGGTTCATTAGGTGCGCGTGCTCAACATTATTTCGTGCTGGTTTGGTTTTGCCAAGATAGGGTTTACACTTTTTGTACATTTATGCTTCTGAAAGGTGTAATTGGGAAAGGAACGCGTGGAGAGAATTACCATTCTCCCAGTGTTGCATTTTTATGGGGTTTTGAGTATTAGCATTGTGAGTGCAATCGTAAGTGTGAATATGTGATCTTTGTATTTTTGATTTTGGTTCCACCTAAGTTACGTTGTCTTATGACCTTTCGGTCTTCTTCTTGATGCTCATTCTCTATGAGCTGATTTGCCTAATTTTGTTTGGGACATCGCCTCTTTTACTTTAGGTATAGAAGTCCTTTATATAAGTATATACAAGTTCCTTCACGTATTACAATAGCTTTGGCAAAAAAATAAAATAAAAAAAAATAAAAAAAACAACAATATAGTATGATCTATGCTTTTGTATTTTTGCAGGCCATGGAGAAAATTGTGAAAATGCTTTGCAGCTTGACTGTGCCCATAAGCTGGAGTCTAGTTCATTGCACACTGATTTTGAAGAGATGGCTATGGTTGGACTGGATGCAATGCAACGAGCAAATTCTACCCTTGAAGATTTTGTAAGCAGGCTTTGTTGTTGAAGATAGATCCTACATCATATATATCTATATCTATATATATGTATGTATATATATTATATGTATTTATATTTGTATGTGTTGGATTAGGCAATATTTCATGCAATGAATATTAATTAGTGAGCACTGAGTTGTAGGATGAAGGAATGACTAATTGCAGATTTCTTAGTAGTAAAGCTAACATGTAAAGTTTACCAATCTTCAACTTTTACTTTCCGAATCAAATTTTTACTGGGCAATTTGGTTGCCCATGGAGAATGCAGATTATATGTATATCTGATAGTATTATATGCATATCTTATATTTTATCTCAGTTTTTGAAGGTAAAGTCATCTAGAAACTTAGATCAACAACCTCATTTACCACCTTTTTTGTTATAAGAAAATTAAATGTTTCTTAAAGTAGGAGTTTTAGTACGACGTTCTGTGGTAAATAGTCAATTGATACAATTTTCAAGGTATGCAATAATTTCATGTGCTCCCTTCATAAGTTTCTGATATATCACTTAACCCATAATTGAACATTATGTATATCTTACTATTTATGTCTCTGAAAAGCTGATACAGTAGTCAGATTTTGCAGCAGTATAGTTGTATGCTACCAGTTATCGTTCCCCCTACATACAATTGTATGCCTTCTGGCAAAAATTCACCATCAATGTGTGTCAATTGTCAACTATAAAATAATTCGGTCAGGTGGTGTTGTAATCTTAAACTCATTTTTTTTCAGTGCAGATCTTATTTTATGTTCCATGGAATGGATATAAACAAACCACAGTCAATATTCCAATATCTACCTATGCTTTCATTCACAGAAAGTTACATTTATCAGGTAGTAATCACAGTTGTGCAATGAAATTCCGTGTTATTTTTTTCCCTTTTTCTTTACAAGCAAAAGGTTCTCTTTGTTCTGTTCTTGTTTTTTCCCAAAAGGGGAAGTGATGAATCAAAGCAGCTTCCAGAATGGTAATGTTATTGAACTTGTCGGACGTTCTTCTTGTTCGTAACGTTTTGAAAAAAGGACTACTTTGAAAATAGTGATTGTTTTTATTTTTTATTTTTTAAGAAATTCCAACCTTGAATTATTCATAGTGCAACGGTATGATGAATAGAGTTGTCACCACTTGATCTCTGGTTGTTGAGTTTCTATATTCCTTCCCTTTTGTTGCTTTCTCTTACCATCATGGTTTCATTATTACAGCTTGATGCTTTGAATGAGAAGACACTTCATGCAGCAAGCAGTGAAATGACCATTTCAGAAAGAGGAACTGAGGTGGTAGTGCTAACTGCTAAGAACTTGGGAGAAGTAGTCACAAAATTATTTTAACTAAGTAACTTTTACTTGACCAAATGTCTTTTGGGATGCAGGAAGGTCAGTGGCTAATTGCTCGGTGTGCAAGTTCATTTAAAGGTGCGCCATTCAGACCACTGTCATGTGTACTTGAATGTCATGGCCTTTTGACAAAGAGGTACTGCATTGTGCTTTCTGATTTTATTCTTTTCTTGGGGGAAGATTAAAGAACTCTGAACTTATCTTGTTTATTGCACTTCTGTTTAATGGAATCAGGATGCAAGATGAGTTTAAATCTGGAGAAGAGTATTGGGCGCTGGAAAGAAAGCTTTGTTATGCACTGATGAATAAAATGGAGGTACGGATATTATCCCATGTTATTAATTTTTTAATTTTTTTTTTCAATATGTTTTTAGAAATGCTTATCAGAATGTGGTGCAGAAATTTCTCGTAAAAAAAACAAACTGTTGTTCTGTTGCATTCGTTACGTGTAGGTTATGTAATGTTATGACGGTGCAAAAGGTTGTTGAACCACTAATCTAGGGTCGATAATTTTAGCTGGTAACTCATTTCAAAGTAACATAGAATAGGACTTTTACTCTAAAATGATGTATAACAGGTCTCCTTGGTTTCAAAAGTAGCATATAGCAATAAGAAGAAACTGAAAGAGAGAACCAAGGGAGATGAGAAAAGATTTGATTGCTCGGGGTACATTCGAGTCACCCCATTGTGCCTATGAACATACCTGCTTTGAGAGAATATAGTCTCGTTTAATTTGCATTGACAAGCAAGGCAATGCAGCACCACGTAATTTTAAAAATATCTATGTTTTTCTAACTCTAAATTAATAGGGCAAAACTTTTCCATTCTCAGCCACCTATCTCAACAGTGTCTGATTCAGTAGTTTTGTGAAGTTAAATATAACTTATATTATTTTAGTTTATTGGCTTAATAAGTAGCTGACTTGACACATCCAAACCTTGGATTGTCCTGTACAAAGACCCAATTGTTTCAAGTACCAACCTCCTGCATCTTGTTGCCACTGCAAAAGTCACTAAGTTGATATAACTACAGATTGTACTTCTCTTGTTTAATTTTCACTTTTAATTTGAGGTATTGAGGGTTTACTGGTTATAAATTTTGTACTTGTAGAAACTCATTGTAGGTTCATTCAATTTATAGGAATTATATAGCAGTGAAGCATAGGCATGTTCAAGGTTTCATTTTTAAGCTGATGATAAAAATTGGAATGCAGATAGTTGTTGAAGATGTCGTAAAGGCAATTCATCTGAAATCCTTTGATTACCGTGTGCTGAATCTTTTACTGTACCGGTTGAGGGGTGAAGAGGTATAGTAGCTTTGTATCCATTTTCATAGTGAATAACCTTATGCTGATTTTAGATTGCTTTTCTTTGTATATCTGTGTTTACATGTAGCGTATGCATATTTATGTATCTGTGTGTCCATGTCAATTTCGTTGATGACATTTAAATTGTTCATAAATAAATATTTTCACTGTATGTCATTCTTAAATTGAACAAAATTGTGGCATGGATGTTTTTCCCTGTATTGAGGCGTAAGATCATAGGACTTGGTTTGTCTTTTGATAAACAGACGAATTCATGTTATCTTTACAATGTTTTGTCAATTCAATTAGATGTTCTTAAGCCTCTGTTTGTAAAAAGAACAAAATGGAAAAGAAGGAATAAATTTTCAGTGTTTCATTTTCAACAGTTTAGCTTCTCAAAGATTTATCAAATCTATCAATAATAAAATCAAATACAAGGTAGTAAAAATACCCCCACCACGGCCACCGCCACACACACACAAACACATCACTTCTCGTGCCAAAGTGGTCCCAAACCTTTAATTGCTGTTTTTTTGTCTCTTTGGTGTAGCTTATTCTTTTGGCCTCACCTATGTTTAACACGCATATTTCGTTTGGTTAACTGTGTTCTCCTTTGAATCTGTAATTAAGGTTGATGAGCTGCATATGGAATTTTTATCAATCTCAGAATTCCTAGTTGAGGTAGCTGATGATCTGTGAGTACCCTTCATGCTTTTGTTTTATTTTTCAGTCAACTGTCCTAATACATCTTATAGGTCTAAGTGGTCATTATTTCCCCTTATAGCGTGATTAATGTTTGAGTTCCTTTCCATTTGTAACTCCATGTAGGTGGAATATTTTCTTGTCCTAGACTGTATCTTTGTTACGTTGCATTTGCTAAATACCTGTGAAGCTTCTTGAAACTTATGCATGAACATATTCCAACGTGTGTTTCTATGTCCTGTCTCTCGAGGAATACTTAGTGCTCTGCTACTTGACATCTACCTTTATCTGTTATTAGCGGACAACTAATGTCATTATTACTGATAAATTTTTTGTTGCAAGCACATCATCAGTATCATTTGCCATTGAGTTGACAGGATGATTTTGCAGGTTTGACTATGAGGTGAGCTCTTTAATTTGCAGAGTTTATAACCGTTTAAGTATCCTGCCCCATTTATTTTTCCGGTTACAGTTATCCCCTCCCATTTTTATTTGTCCTTATTGGTTCCTCATGCAGGAGGATGTAATAGAAAATAGTTTCAATATTTTGCGCATGTTTGTCAAAATGTATGGAGCTTCTGCACCAACTGTGCTGGTGAGTTTGCCAAGCGTTTCACTTTCGCACTGTTTTCTTTATTTAGTAAATGAAACGATTTCTTTCTTTTTCTCTTCTTGGTTTGTGTGTGTGCGGGGGGGGGGGGGTGTTGTGGATTGGAGATTGAACAACCGTACCGAGCAATACCACAGCTTCAGACCACCTGAGCTGAGGCTCTTGGTTTCTCATAATGCATCTGTAGCTCTGATCTCAGTAAAAGTATACAATTAAAAAAGGATTCAGTTCAATCAACTCGGTCAATGATTGCAACTTTTCTTAGGCACTGAGCTATACATGGACACCTATCGACCTTCGTTTTGGCCGATTCCCTTTGAGTACAAGAAGAGGAACCTAGGTAACCTTGCAATTATCTATCTAAGAAGAGGTCCAAAGGAGCACAAAAAACAAATGAAGGGTCTTACCCTATTCTGTACAGTTAGGAAAGACCCTGACTCGGTATTGTTAAAAAAATCCAGAGAAATCAGAACCAAGTCAAGTTGATATGGGTCAGATCCTTAGAGATATCAATGGAGAACTACAAATCCAATGACTTTTATCAAGGCTAACATTTATTAGTAAGCCTTCTTGTTTTTTAATCGATCTTTGGTATTCTTACACATACAGCAGCAGCCTTAGATGTATAAGCTTTAATTCCAGTAGACTGAGAGAATGATAGAAAGGTTTTATATGGTTGGTTCTTGGCACAATGTTGTTGCTATATCGTTTAGCTTTAATATCTTCCTGTCATGATGTTAAGCTTCTACTTAAATCGGAGTTTTGTCAAATTCGAAATAAATTTGACAGCAGTCTTTATTTTTTTCCTCTCACAAACACCTACCATTATTTACTGCTTCAGGCAAAATATATAGCTGAGGCTGAAGATAAGTACAACAATTTACTGAAAAGGCTCGATCCACAGCTGTCCTTGAATTACCAGAGAAGATGTGTAGAAGCAACTAAAGAGGGTAGCTTTTCTGCTGTCTAATTTTACCACATGTGAAACTGCATCCTTATTTGTTTTCTGTCAGGTTTCATTGATCGTTGTGAAATTTGAATTTCTCAGGAGGGAGTGCGTCTGCACATCCACTCGGAGCATGGAGTATACCACCTCTAATACTAGACGGGGAATTTTATCGATCCAATATGTTAGATCAGAGATAAGAAATTGTAAAACCAGTCTGGATTTTGGTTCAGTGTCAGCATTACAGGTTTTCCTCTGTTTTGTTATGCAAATTTTGCTTCTTTGTTTCGTCGTTTTTTCAGTTTCCTTCTACTGAAACTACATTTGCTCAACTGGTTTTCTGCTTTGTAGATATTTGAACAAAAAAGAATACTTGATGTAAAACTGGCTTACCGTTGGAACTCGGATCTGCTGCAATCTTTAGTACCTAACTGAGGTTTTCCATTTTTCTAGGTTGTTAAATTAGAAAGATAATCGCCTGGAAAGGTTCAATTGGTATGTCACCTTGTGTCTCTCTCTTTCATCACGTGGTCATACAATACAATCGATTGCAAGGAAGATTCTCTTAAACGGCGGTGATGCGACTTCTATCTTATATGGAAATTGTTGGCACCGTTTAGCGTTTGAATAATTCGGAAGTAGTTGAGACTTTTTAGCTTAAATGTGTAGATCAATTGAGACTTGATCTTCCCTCTCTCCATGTCTTGTGCTTCATTTGGAACAAAAACAAGAAAAGAAAGTAATATATCCAAATATAATGAGCAGATTGGTGCTTGGAACTCAAAGACTAGGGTTGGTGGATTTGGATAGGTGTTAAGAGACTTTGCTGGGATCTTAAAGCGAGTTGGGGGTGTGGGAAAATTGGTTTTTCGCTCTGCCATTGTTGCTGAGGCTTTTACGGACATTTCAAACTAATGTAGTTTAAATGTAAAGGGCAAAGATTATTGTTTGAGCCGTCTCATATAAATGTTATATGCTTAAACGATAAGTCCAAGGAATATGTGATTGGAAGAATGCGATCTAAAGAAGTTAGATTCATGAGACCATTCTTTCGTTGACACATCCTAAACGTTCCTGATCATAGGATTGTCAATTGGGCATTGACAGTCCGTTAAGATCAGTACGTGCTATGTCTTCTCTCAGGGAGAGTGACTAGTCTCGAGTCATTGGTGTGTGTGACATCAAGACAAGTACGTAGGTGCTCAATAGAGAATGAGCTCACTGAACACGATCAACGAAGAGTTCTCATATTCATGTCACATGAGAACTCATGGTTGGGATAATGCAAATTAGTCTTTTGACCTGAGGCATCACAATTGTCTTGTGGTTAGGTCCTTAATCTTTGATTATGTCAAAGTCACTCCATCAGGAGGGTGTCCACGGCATCGTTGGGGTTAAGCCACTTAGCCATGGAGGCAAGTAAATGCGCAACAAGGGATCTCTAACCTTCAAACTGTTTGAGGGAGAATACTTTATGATATGATTAAGAATCTTTGGCCAAAGTATGAATGAAATTTAGGAATGTGTTCCAAATTACATTCAAGGTAATCATATAAGCACAAGACTCACATTGGATAGTAGACATGAATAAACTATCAAACCAAACAATGTGGTCAAGAGTATTGTATTAGAGAAAGACCGTATTGCATTTGTAATCCTAAAACTGAATAGGTTCTCCACCTCTTCTGATTAGCTTGGGTAACCATGACATGCTGCTAGGCGTCAACCATGGTTTGTGGAAACCCTAAAAGTGTATTATCACTAATGGGAGAATTGAAAGTAAGTTTCAATTCACAATCGATTTGAAAGAGTTTGAATCGCCCACTGCCTCGCTAAAAGGAACCTAATGGATCGTACACCGTGTAAGGTAGAGATTGAAGATTCAACGGAGATGAGTAAGAATAATTAAATGGTTTAATTATTTATGGCAAGGATTAATTAATATGATTATTAATCAAACGAATAAGTTCATTAAAAGACCTCGGGATAGTTTTGGACCTTAAGGCCCACTGGGCTTCGAACATCAAGTCCATTGACTTAAGTTGTATGACAACTTAATGAATAATGATTCACAAAGGCCCAAATAGCCCAATAAATCCCATATGGCCGGCCATTTAGAGGAGGGTAGTGAACTTGGCTTAATTGCAAGTTTGCCACTCCATTGTGAGGTGGTATAAAGACATCTTTATAACTATTTCATCCTTAGGGTTTTCTTAGGAGTAAAGATGAGAACACAAACCTCCCTTTGCTCTCAAAGAGGCCGGCCACCCTTGAGGAAAACATCTAGCAATCTTACTTCCTCAAGGTCACTCATTTCTTCTACAATATGCCTTGGTGTGGAGACTTAGAGGTTCTCAATTTTGGGAACTTGGAGAAACCTTTTCATCCATCCAAATCCATGGATCTAAGATGCAAGGAATGAAGGCCCTCTCTTGGGGTGATTAGCCTTTGCTTAGGCAAAGAGGAATCTACAAAGGTATTGATTTCTCAACTCACTTTGTTTTGAGTTGAGTTTTGGTTCACCTATCTACTAGGCTTTGAAGTTCATGGGTTAAGTTTTGTTTTTGAGTGCATATAAACATGATTCCGCCTTTTAATTGTTAATTGCATGTTGTTGATGTTGCTCAAATGAACTTGTTTTTCACAAATCTTCCTTCAGTTAGATGGTTAGATATTATGATTTCATGATTCGTTTTGTTCGAGAGGGATGAAGAAGAGAGGAAAAAAATATTATAGTGAAGTAAATAGGTCAAAAAACTTGTTAGCCCGTGTTTATACTTAAAATCTATTTTGGTCATCAGTGGTATCTAAATTCTTTTCCATATGTTTTGTTTGTTCTTTTATTGTGGCACCTAAGTTTTCTTTAGGTTCATTCACAATGGATGAATTTCATACTTCCTATTATAGTCTTGAATAAAATGATAAAAAAAAGGAACACAAAAAAGTTGTTCCGGATGTGACAATCGAATATCACCATATTATTCAGCTTGTAAGGCAATTGCAAGAGGACAAGGCAGCTGAAGCGCAGGAGAGATTCAGAGCAGGAGGAGGTTCCTGGTAACTCAAAATGCCGTCTTCTGATAATAATTTTGGTCAGTTAGCCTCCTGAGATTTTTACTGATTTGCTCTAGCTTTTGATCAAGTATTAGCCTAGTGTATTGGAAATGATTCTTAGGTACTTCTCATTTGCATCCATTTATGGTCGATGAAATGCTATACATTTGTGAAATCACGGTTTATGAATGCTGCATTTTCCGTTTTCCAGTTTGTGTATTTTTATGAACTGCTTATCCTTCCAGACCACTTGTAACGTCTTTTGTAATCCCATACTAAATAATAGATGTTTCCAGCGTTCGAAATGTTAGCCACTTGGTTTTAAGGTGCGACAACAACTCTTGGTCCATCGGTACTTCTCTCTAACTATTTTGCAGTATGGCAATTCAATTGTTATAGAGCTTGGTTCATTTCTAATAAATCATTAGGTATCAATCATACCATATTTATCGTAGATGGTAGAACTTCTATGCTGGTAAATAAGGGGACAGTGTAGAACATATCAATGGAGAACAACCATCTAACTGGGACGCCAAGGTGACTGTTTTCCAACCAAATCACGTTATGTCATGTGAGCAAGTTAAAACACATGGCGTCGGGTAATAGGCTTGACATACCACCACCTTGACGTCTTGGTTCGACTCTCATGGTGAATGGATAGATATGACAGAAAGAATCCGGCTATTGAATGTGTGTTGTATGCGTTCCATTAATGTGTGTGCATCAGCATGTCTTATCATTTCATAAGCTGATCCACCGTCAGAAACTAGTGCTTTTTTACCAGTGATGATATTAAAATCAAAGTGTAGTTCATTGCTGTCACCGATTTTGTGCAGTATAATTTCAAAATCATACAACATTCTACGGACTATTGTCACGGTAGCTAAAATTCCTCAAGCGAGTCTTGAAGCCCTCACATTAACAATAATTATACAATAAACAAACAGTCACAAATGAATAAAACGCAAGGAACTGTTGTCGCTAAAAGACCATAAGTATTGTCTTGATCAAATGGCAGTGATGATTCTTCACTAACAACAATTTAGCATAATTTCTATGCAAATACATTTAAGTCGGTCAGTTTTTGTGTGTCTTCTAATCTAATAACGCCAAGACTAAATTTGTAAAGACCCTAGTTAGTTGCAGTGTAATTATTCGAAATACCGGAACTCTTGAGAACTTGCTGTCAATAACCTTGAAGTATCGCATGGAGTATCGTACCGGGTCCAAGACAAGACAATACAATTCCACTTACATTGTTGAAATTTTGGTTTGCAGGTGCCTATTATCCTCAACTTGTAATTTACTTTGAAGCATGATTAGTAATTTACTTTGAAGCGTGATTAAGACAAATGAAAAACGAAAGTGTAGAAGAATCATCTATCTTGTGGGAGTCATTCATCCTTCCTCATTCCTCTTATCCTCTAATACGTTTTGCAATTTGTTTGGAAATAAATGACGGAATCAGGTGCTTGAAGAAACTCTTCCATACTTCCATTGTGTTGCTACTTTTTCTACAATGTTTCAACCCTTCCCTATCCTCTGGATTCAACAATGTTTCTTTCAATTTCGGAGCAATTGGCCGCCGAGTGGTGACGAGGTGCATAGAGAGTGAAAGGGAAGCACTGCTTGCTTTCAAACAAGGTCTGATTGATGACTACAATCTCATCTCCTCGTGGGGAAGAGAAGAACGCAAGCAAGATTGTTGCAAATGGCTTGGCGTCCACTGCAGCAACCGAACCAACCATGTTACTCAACTTGATCTTGGAGTTAAACATATGGATAAAGCTTACTCACTTCAACACAAAGGTGACCATAAAGATATCTATTATTTTCATTTCTAGAATTTGCTATCAATAACTTGCTATCAATAGCCTTGAAGTATCGCATGAAGCGTGCATTTCCACTTGCATTGTAGAAATTTTGATTTGTTGGTCCCTGTTGTTCTCAATTTGTAATTTACTTTGAAGGGTGATTAAGACAAATAACAAACAAAAGTGGAAAAGAATCATCTATTTTGTGGGAGTCATTCATCCTTCCTCTTATCCTTCAAAACGATTTTTGTGTTGATTGTTGCAGGCTTTGTCATTATTTTGGAGAGACAAGTCATCCTCTAATTACTACACCTACCCATAGAAAAGTAGCTGGTCCACTCACACATGTTCCACACTTGACCATTTAAGTCAATATCCTTGAACTATCGCATGGATTTCCACTTGTATCGTGGAAATTTTGGTTTGTTGGTCCCTTTTGTTCTCAACTTGTAATTTACTTTGAAGCGTGATTAAGACAAATGACAAACGAAAGTGGAGAATAATCATCTATTTTGTGGGAGTTATTCATCCTTCCTCATATCCTCCAAAATGACTTTTGACGGTTTGCAACTTGTTTGGAAATAAATGTGAATTTGTCTCTCAAGAGTTGAGGCGTTTTTCGTGTATTTTAGCCCGGTTCAAATAACGTGAATTACGCATTCTGACTGTTTGCAACTTGTTTGGAAAATAAATATAAATTTTTTGTCTCAAGAATTGAGACGGTTTCCGCGTTTTTTAGCTTGGTCCAAATAACGTGAATTACGCGCTTTTATGTTGTTTTCTAATTCCACAAAAAGCAAAAGGACTTCTAAAACGTAAATAGAACGAAACAATCACGCGGAATTGTGTTGATTGTTGCAGACTTTGTCATTATTTTGGAGAGACGAGTCATCCTCTAATTACTACACCTACCTACAGAAAAGTAGGAGGTCCACTCACACATGTTCCATACTTGACCATTTGAGTCAATAACCTTGAACTATCGCATGGATTTCCCCTTGCATCGTGGAAATTGTGGTTTGTTGGTCCCTGTTGTTCTCAACTTGTAATTTACTTTGAAGCGTGATTAAGATAAATGACATAAAAGTGGAGAAGAATTATCTATTTTGTGGGAGTCATTCATCCTTCCTCTTATCCTCCAAAACGATTTTTGACTGTTTGCAATTTGTTTGGAAAAAAAAAATGTGAATTTGTCTTTCAAAAGTCGAGGCATTTTCCGTGTATTTTAGTCTAGTCCAAATAACATGAATTACGCATTATGACTATTTGCAACTTGTTTGGAAAATAAATGTAAATTTGTTCTCTCAATAGTTGAGACGGTTTCCGTGCTTTTTAGCTTGGTCCAAATAACGTGAATTACGCCTATGTTGTTTTCTAATTCCACAAAAAACAAAGACTTCTAAAATGTAAACAGAATGAAACAATCAACGGGGAATTGTGTTGATTGTTGCAGGCTTTGTCATTATTTTGGAGAGACGGGTCATCCTCTAATTACTACACTTACCTACACAAAAGTAGGTGGTCCACTCACACATGCACCATACTTGACCATTTGAGTCAAGACAACTCAGTGTGTGGATTGTTTTGTGAGCTACTACGTACTCACCCAGCCTTATAATAAACTCGCAGATTTCATTGTGCTCCTAAATCAAATCTGATTGTACACTTCTTCTTCATTCTTCAATCGTCTTTGCCTTGATTTCGTTGAAGTAAGATGGAGAATGACGGAATCAGGTGCTTGAAGAAACTCTTTCATACTTCCATTGTGTTGCTACTTTTTCTACAATGTTTCAACCCTTCCCTATCCTCTGGATTCAACAATGTTTCTTTCAATTTCGGAGCAATTGGCCGCCGAGTGGTGACGAGGTGCATAGAGAGTGAAAGGGAAGCACTGCTTGCTTTCAAACAAGGTCTGATTGATGACTACAATCTCATCTCCTCGTGGGGAAGAGAAGAACGCAAGCAAGATTGTTGCAAATGGCTTGGCGTCCACTGCAGCAACCGAACCAACCATGTTACTCAACTTGATCTTGGAGTTAAACATATGGATAAAGCTTACTCACTTCAACACAAAGGTGACCATAAAGATGTCTATTATTATTTGCAAGGTAAGATGATGAGTCCTAAACTGATTGAGTTGCAACATTTGAAATATTTGGACCTTTCATGGATTAACTTCAATGGAAGCCAAATTCCAGATTTCATTTGTTCTCTTTCCAACTTAAGATTCCTCGATCTCTCTTTTGCTTCTTTTGGTGGCCGAATTCCAACTCAGATCGGAAACCTTACCCACTTGCAATATCTTGATCTCGGTTCCAATAACTTTGCTAATGTAGAAAATATGAATTCATGGCTGCCCCATCTTTCTGCTTTAAAGTATTTAGACCTGAGTGATACCAATCTCAGTAATGTTCCTGACTGGATGGAAGCAGTTACTAAGCTCCCTAAACTTACAAACTTGTCTCTGTCTTATTGCAGTCTTCCTTCTCCTCTAATTCATTCCAGTACTCTTTTTAACATAAATTCTACTAGATCTCTTGCTCATGTAGATCTCAGTTCCAACCAAATCCCATTTTCTTCATCTTCTTCCATATTTGTGTGGTTATCCAAATACAATGCCAGCCTTGTTCATCTTGAACTCTCTGAAAACCAAATTGAAGGAGGGATTCCACAATCATTTTCCGGGTTATGTAATTTGCAAGAATTGTACCTTATGGGCAACAATTTGAGTGGACAACTTTCTTGGTTGGTTCAAATATTAATGTCTGCATGCCCTGATCAGAACTCATTAGAGACTCTGGTCCTCTCAGGCAATCATCTTTCTGGATCAATTCCTAATCTCACAAAATTTTCATCATTGAAAGAATTAGTTCTCCCTTACAATCAATTGAGTGGAACAATACCTGAAAGCATTGGGCATATGTCTAGGCTCGAGGGTATCTACCTTGGTACGAATGCTTTGGAAGGTGTGGTTTCAGAAAGCCACTTCTCCAATCTCTCCAGATTAAGGAATTTGGATATGTCCAATACCTCAGTATCTTTAAGCTTCAGTTCTAATTGGACTCCTCCTTTCCAATTGGTTTCCATTTATTTGAGCTCTTGCATGGTGGGTCCACATTTTCCAAAATGGCTTCAAACTCAAAAAAGTTATCAGCACCTTGATATTTCTAATGCAGGAATATTTGATATCCTTCCAAGTTGGTTATGGAGCCCTCTGTCGCATCAGAATCCTATAAATTTTATAGATCTTTCCAACAACCAAATTAGAGGAACAATTCCAAATTCAAGATTTGAGTTTCCCTCATCTTACTATAGTAAAGTGAATTTGAGTTGGAACCGATTGGAAAGTCCAGTCCCTTCATTCCTTTCCACAGTGATATCTCTAGATCTCTCCAACAATAAGCTTTCAGGGTTAAATTCTTTCATGTGTCCAAAGACTCCGAACAAGGTTAGTCGTTTAGTCTCTCTTGATCTCTCAAGTAACAATTTGTACGAACAACTTCCTAATTGTTGGTCACGTTTAGAAAATCTTGCCTTTCTTGATTTGAGTGATAATGCTCTTTTTGGGAAAATTCCTACCACAATGGGCTCTTTACCTTCTATTCAAACGCTGAAGTTAAACAAGAATGGGCTTGTGGGGGAATTGCCTTCATCCTTGAAGAACCTTACCAGACTCAGTGTTTTTGATGTTGGAGAAAATAACTTATCAGGTTTGATACCTAAATGGTTAGGGGTTGGACTTCCAAATTTGGCCATCCTTATCCTCCGTTCTAATCACTTCTATGGAAGCATTCCACTACAATTGTGTAATATGAGAAACATTCAAATTCTGGATTTTTCGATGAATAACATATCTGGAACTATACCCAAATGCGTCAACAATTTGACTAATTTGGCTACAAAAGGAAGTTCAAGTCTAACTATTTTTCATACCTATGATATGTCACTTGGCGGACAATCAGGTTATTTTGAGGAAGCATCCTTGATATGGAAAGGCATAATGTCCAAATACAAAAGTACTCTGGGGCTTGTAAAGTGTATTCATCTGTCGAGTAACCAATTAACGGGGGAGATTCCTAGGGAAATCACTGATCTTGTGGGGTTGGTTTCTTTAAACTTGTCAAGAAACAATTTAACAGGTCAAATAACTCCAACAATCGGGAAGTTGGAGTCCTTAGAGTCCCTTGATCTGTCAAGAAACCACATATATGGTGGAATACCAACAAGCCTTTTTCAAATATATGGTCTTGGTGATTTGGACTTGTCAAACAACAACCTGTCTGGAAAAATTCCAATGGGGACTCAGCTCCAAACCTATGATCCATCTGATTTTGCTGGAAATCCTCTGCTTTGTGGGATTCCACTTCAACAGTTGTGCTCTCCTGAGGAAACAAGTCCCAAGGAGCAACCAATGTTTGGGGATCAAGTTAAAGAGAATGATGGGCTTATAACAACAGGATTTTACTTGAGTTTGGCATTTGGTTTTGTTGTTGGATTTTGGGGAGTTTGTGGGAGTTTGATATTCATCAGGTCATGGAGATACACATACTACAAGTTCTTGAGCTGTGTGTACGATTGGCTTTATGTGAGGGTGGCGTTGATCAGGCGACGAAGAGCGATTGATGGGTAAACTGTAAGTACTCTTCCACACAATGAATAATATTATTGCAGTTTTGAGTCTATTAGTACAACTGGCTAAGTGCACTTTTATACAGAAAACTGCAGTATAATGATATGGCATAATTGCCATCATGGTTAATATCATTTTGGTCTCTACAATTGTCTTTAAATTATTACTAATATATGTCGTGGTTTTTTTTAATCTTTTTAGCTTGTGCATCTACCGTTGGTAAGCAATGCTCCCTTTAAACTGGAGAAGAAGGAGATTGAAGAGTGCAATTTGAAGTTATAATTTAGTGAAAGTGTTGTGTTTAATTTAGTGGCCTTTTTGTTTTTGCAATGACGTTACTTGAATTATCTTTAAGGGGTTAATTAGGTTCTCTTCATCCTCTTTTACTAAGTGTACCAGTTGATCATTTTCAATAAATTTCTTTGACAAACTTGCAAGAACTTATTAATCAAGTTACAAAGAGAACAAATAGACAGATAATTCAATAAAAGAATGGATACATTAACATTGAGAACATCATACATTACATTAACAGATAATTCAATCAATATATCTCACATCATCAATTGTTGATTCTTTACGATTCAAGTCTGATCAGACCGCATTATCTTGACAACCGAGAAAAACAATTCGAATTATTAAAATCTGATTGGCGTAAGAGCTCACTACTGGTTTAATTGACTATTCTCATCATTCATTAATTCTCATTGCCACCTTCAGCCAACGTAAAACATGAGGTTATCGAGTGCACCAATTGGGCAATTAGCATGACAGACGATGCATGCAGCATTGCAATAATGTAATGGAAATTGGATTTTCGTACACAGAGCCCTCAATAATGCATCGGTTCGGCTGCGCAATGTTAGAAAAATAAAATAAGGACCATATTCTTCAATGATTTTGTTGTGTTTGCAGTGGATCTTCTGGGTCGGACCATTCATCGGAGCTGCACTTGCTGCGCTACCATCAGATAGTCATCAGAGCCATCCCATTCAAGACCAGGGATTGACATAGTAATCCCCTTCGGGTGTCCCCGTCGGGCCTTGTTCTGTCTAAATGCTGCGATTGTGTATATTTCGTTCGTTGTGTTTTAATGTCGAGAGTGGATATTTGGGGTGCTAATGTGCATATAAGTTATTTATCCTGTTACATTAATGGAAAACTTTATTTAATTTATTTATACTTTGTTATTATGTTTATCCTTGTTTTTGCATTGGAAGGCTTTAGGCATTTGTTACCAAGTAATTTGGGACTCGAAAGCTTTATTTAATTAATGACTTAGTTAGCCGCGTTTAAATTATCAACAAAATCATTCTCGAACCGAGTTAATAACAAGAGACAATGTGTCTCCTCTATGTCTTCTTTCTAATTTGTTGACACGTGTTCTTTTACTTAACTGTAAATTTAATATTATTACTTCACATAGAATTGATTTTTACAAAAAAAAAAAAAAAAAAACTGAAAAATTAAAGGCACCATAGCTGATGAAACCCTTCAGCATCCTCCCCCAATCTACCACTGCAGCCACCAAACCCAACCTCCCCACCATGCATTTCGACCACGAGATGGATCGATTAGATTAGATATTCTCATTCTATCCGTGAGGCCAGCACTGCTGTTTTGCAGAAATTGCGGCCGCACAGAGGTGGAGTCCGACTCCCAACCGTTGATTCGTATGATTAATAGACAAATGGACCGGGATGCACTGCTAGAAGGAGTGCTGTTTGATATTGATTCTTTAGACATGCGTTTTGATTTTGTTAAGTTCGGGTTCGTTCCGCGGGAAGGTAATTTTGCTACTCACAAGGTGGCTTCGTTTGCTACCAAGCATGGTGGTCAAATTTATTCGTGTGAACACATATATATTCGACAAAACAAAACCTACAAAGCTTCACATATTTCACATGCATTGACATACAAAGATACTATAACACCGAGTACAACATGGTTGCAGAAACATACACATGGAAGTTTCACGCCAATTATTAGTAGGAAAAACAACATTACTTACACCAGGTTAAACCCCTAACCTCCTCCAAAACTCCATCAAAACACTCCATCAAGAAAATTCATGGAGATAGGGGCCAATCGAACCCACCATTATCGAGATAAAAACCATCATAGAACCTCATTTCTACATCCTCCATACTAAGGTCGTCTTCCCAAGCCTCATCTAACATCTCTTCGTCAAAATCATCATCCATTACATCCCATGCTAAGTAGCCAGAAGAAACTGAGTAATCTGAACAATCATCCCAGCCCGCATTGTCGGAACCTGGTCCCACCAGCTTCAGCCCCGAGAATTTCTTGACAAACTTTTCGTCAAGTTTCACACTATAGCACCCTCGCACATCTAATAACTGGAGCTCAGGGCAGTTCAAGAGTATCTGACGCACAGCTTCTGTACTAACATGCAGACAGAGTATCTCAAGGTGCTTGAGTTTTGGCATTGTGGCCGCTATTGCAAGGGCCTCGTCATCTTGAGAAACCTTGTCAAGTACCTCCCATCCGTACATGCATCTCTGCAACTTTCTGAGATGTCTACAATGCTTCCCAAATGCCTCAAGTGCAGGGCCTCCAATAGTTTTGCAGTAGCTTACATCCAAGAAAGTTACGGAAGAGAGCCTTGCAGCAACCTGTTCCACTATGGAATCACTTATTTCACTTCTTGGCAGCTGCAGTGTCCGAAGAGATTTGGCACTAGCAAACAGAATTATTATTTTTTCATTTAAAAAATATACTGAAGAAATAAAATATAACAAAGATGAACACATCAACAGATTATCGGTTTAAACTACAAGAATATGATAGTTAGCCAAATATTATGCTGAAGAACGTAAGAAATTAAAATGATATACTGACATCATGCAAAGGTTGAAGGAAATTGCAACCAGCTACACTGAGTATTCCAAAAAAAAATAAAAATAAAACAGGTAAATCATGATTAAGAAAACAACTGGGAAAGTTAAATGATCAGTTTAGATGGTTGTAACTTCCTGATTTAGTAGATTAGCCAGGTTGCTCAACAATTAACCTCGAGGTTGGCTACTAAATAACCTATATAAAAACTATCGGTCCACTTTTTCATGCATGAGCTTGTAGCATGTAAAAAACATACAAGTGAGGTGTAGTGCAGTGTGCGAGAAGGCCTTTTAAGAGTTCTTGAGGCAAGGTGTGGTTATGAGGTGTTCCCATTTAAGCCTACAAGGTGTTTTTCATGGTGATCTTCAGCTATATTATTATAACGACATTTGTATTCGTATTGCGAATATCATCTTGGAACAACCTAAGTTATGGTCCATCTTAAATTCTCTCTTTGAATAGGAGATCAGTAAAATATTTAAACAGTCAAATTAGGATTGATAAACCTTAAATTCAAAGTTAACCATAATCTTCAGTTGCTAAATTATAGAAACGTTATGATATTAATACTTCATGCTTTAAGTTTAGAACTGCTAAGAACAAATAAAAAAATGAACAAACAAATATATAAATTAAACAAATTGACAATTTAAACAAACCAATAATATAACTTAACATGAAAGCATAAGCCAAACTGTTTATACTGGCACCTGAGATAAATTAGTCATAAAAATGAGTTAGAACTACAGCTCCCAAGAATAACTATCAATCTTTCAAGTTTCCATCAAAAGGGACAAGTAAGAGCGACAAAACAGGAAATGTCTAGCACTGGGTACCATCATTGATTTGATCCTACAAAATAGAGCATATATGCTCTAACCTACCTAATCCATCTCGGCACGTTTATGATTAAATTTTGACCTCTAGGTAGAAAAGTATGCTTAAGTCAACTCAGTTTAATCTTCTGATCCCTAAAGGCAATCTCTGGAACCTCCATGCCAAGAGCCTTATGAAGCTAATATCCCAGATTTAATTTTATCAATATTGGCTTGCCGTCTATTGCAAGCTGTTATAAGCCAAACGTCATGCAAAGTAAACTGAATTTTACAAGCACTAAACTTAAAGCATGAAGTTCCAATATCATAACATTTTTCTTACATAATTTAGCAACTGAAGATCATGGTTAACTTTGAATTTAAGATTTAGCAATCCTAATTCGAAACCTGAATTCTCTATTTACTTCAATAAGAGGCGGAGGGGGTTTCCCTTGGACATCCTTGAGATTGTTTAAATATTCTACTGATCTCCTCTACAAAGAGAGGACTTAAGGGGTCTCCATTGGCTATCAACTCATAGATAACTGTCCTTCCCTTGCTAATTGTAGAATCAAATTCCAAAGTTTCCCAAAAAAGAGATTTTGCATGATAGAACACTGAATAATATGTCACATCTTGCTTTGAAATGGACAAGCAAATTCTTTCTAATGGCTACAACATCATGTCGTTTCTGTTTTTATATTCTTTTGAGGCATTTTCCATTAAATTTCTACATTAGATTTGTCAGCAAGTAAATCTGAATCCAAAAGATGGATAATCATCCATTGAAACATCTAAAACATCATTACTAAAAAAACACATAATACAAATGCATACAAGCAAGCAAGGCCTGATGTTAACACTACGACACACCAGCATACAGACATGGGAGACCCCTCAATTTTACATCAGACCTCAAGCACTTTGGAATGCCTTCTCAAATAGTTGGTTACTCACTAAGTTAGACCTCACTTTTACACAGCACTCACTGCTCATACGAAACACAATGGTGCATCAGCTCCTATATAAAAACCAGGAGATTGATCACCAGTCCACCTTTAGAAGCTGCACGTCTTCTAAACTGCGGACTTTTCAGTTGTATCCAAACATTGAGGTGAAGAACTACTCCCTACCAAATAATTTTTCACTCCATCACATGCCTATTTATGTGGCATATCACTCACACCAACCCCACGCATAAGCTACACATACTGGGAAACAGATGGAAAGACAATGTTGCGTTCCACATCATGGAGTAAATAAAAAGGGTTAATTTGGAATTTGGGAATTGAAGGATTTTAGAGCGGATTTGTATTTGCAAGTAAAGCAATATTAGTTTTAAAAAACCTATAAACGTAGTAGATAACATTTATTTGAAATAACTCGAGACGATATGTTCAAAATGAATTCAGATTAATACGATAAATCATTTAAAACCATGTATTCTTCTTTTTATTCTCATACAAATAAACATTAACGTATTTGTGATATACTAAACCATATACTTTAAGCAATTAAACCATATACTTTAAGCATTAACTAAATCCCTAAATCTGAAATCAAGCATCCCAAACGCACCCTTAAAATAATTCTGAGAGAGATAAGTGGTGATGACGAATTCTAACATATACAATCAAGCAAATTAACTATATAATATAGTCACTATACTAAAACTGATCTGAAAAATGGAAACTAAGAGCTGTATTGATAATGTAAGTTTGTACTACTTACTGATCAGCAATAAAGGAGAAAGTCTGGTCATTGGGAAGGCCAGCAACGCAGAGCTTTCGGAGTGAACCTGAGCTTCTTATGACCAGCATTTGCAGCATTCGCGTAATGGTCTCTGGCGGACGAAATTTGCTCCATTCCGCAATGTCTATCTCCTGCCAGCAATAAGGTCCAGACACTGCTCTTCCCCATGACTTGCACACCCTTGGGATTACAGTGAGTGTCTCTTGAAGGGTTAGATTCCTAAATATTAGCCCAAGTGCATCAGGTATGAGCTCGTCCCATCGCCGAAATTCACTGTCCTCCTCCATTTAATTCCTTTCTTGCAATCACAAAAACAAAGGGTTAATTTGAAGCAACTAACAAAACCCAAATCTCCTTATGCATTAACAAATCCATGCCAAAATTAGACAAACCCAACACCATAAAACTAAAAGAAATTCTGATTTCAACACCTAACATGCCATGGAAAAGGCCAAGTAAGAAACCCTAAAGGAAAATTCATACAATTTATTCAACAAGTGCGTATAAAATGGTTGGATGAAAGTAAAAGAAACAGAAATTCACAAAGAAAAAGGAAGAGAACGAACCAATAAAATGAACAAATAAAATTAAATAACACGAAATCAGAAGATTACAAGGTTATCGGAGTTCTTGGATCTCCAAGGATGCAAGTTCATCCGCCTCTGAGGACTCAGATCAAATCATCAAGGGGTTTGGGAGTCAGAGTCAGACAGAGAAGCTTTTACGGCTAGAATTAATTATTGAGCGTCTGAGATAGAAATACAAAAATGGATTCGTTTGCCATAAAAACTTTTTTTTTAATATCAAATATTAAATAACTGTTTAATCACAAGAGTGCTGAAATTAACTCCTTAGCTTGGTACTTAAATTAAAATTGATCAATGTCGGTTTTGAAATTTAGTGTAACAAATCAATCTCATTCTTTCGCTAAAATTATATTTGCATGGTCACGTTGCACACCAATAATATCATGGTGCCACATCAATTATAGAAAAAAATTATAAAATAATTTCAAAATATAACACAAATGATATTTTTACTCTAAATCACACTAATTGAAGGAATTATCTAAACTGGAACACAAAATATTGAAGAGAAAGACTACCCGACCGAATTCACCGTTGGAAAAAAAATTAATTAAAATATTAAATAATTAAAAACTTGAAAATAATAAGTCAACTGTTATAAAACCAATGAAAAAGTATAGATAAAATCAAGTGACATTTTACCACAGTAGTGGAAAGGTGTTGAGTTCTTACATGATGATGTGGGTTCAAATTCCATCGGTAACTAATCTAATATCTAATTTAGTAAAATTTATCGTTTGAGAAAAAAGAAGAATAAGTATAGAGAAAAAGGACATGATATTGAATACTAGCATTTACAACATATAGGTAAGTTACAAACACTAACAACAAAGATTTAGTGCAAAAGCTGCATAAAAGTCAATTCGAAGAGTTGCATGGTGGTCCTTCACCAACTCATGAATTTGTAACAAGGACCAGTATATTGGGTTAGCATTATTTATGGAAACGTAATAAATATTCTCATTTAAATTACAAAAATGATATTTTTGTTATCTATTTGTACGATCTTCTGTACAATCTTTCTAAAAGAGATAAAACTCACATGTATTGATAGGCTTTACCTCCATTAAAGAGATTGTATAAGTAATAATACAACTAGATAGTAAATGTAATATTACTCTTTAAATTAGGCCTACATATTACTAAACATAGGTTATGAGTTTTAGTTAAGATAGTCAAGTCTAATAAAGTCTACATACTGAATTATTGGACCACAAGTTATAAACTTTGACTGAATTATTGAATCACAAGTTATGGCTTCATCTGAAGTTATGGCTTTGGGGCTCGGCGGCAACTTCCACCTTCCTTCTGCTTTCTCTTCCTCTACTTTTTCTCCATACTTCTGTTTCTCTCCTCTTTTTCAAGTTTTCATGGCAAGTTTTCAAGGAGAGTTGATTTTCACACACTTTTTAACTTTTTATAAACCCTTCTCTATATCTAGTTTGTTGAAAAGTCTCAAACTTCTGTTGGCAATGAATGCCCACAAAGCTAAAGTTATCTGCACCCACAAAGCTAAAGTCATCTGCACCCACAAAGCTAAAGTCATCTGCATGGGCAAAGTTTTCAATGCCCATGCTGAATGAAAGTGTCAGAGGCACATTTTAAATTTCAAGATGCATTAACTGCATCAGTTCGAGTTGCTCTATAAATAGAGCACTCGCATGTAACAGATAATAAGATGAAGAAGAAATACAAGAGAGAAATATCAATAACATTATATATTCCTCTGCCTTTTATTATCTGTCTGTGCTATAGTTTTTGTGTGGCATTTTACATCTACCTTGCACCTACCACTTAAAAGGTTATCTCTCAAACTTTAACCCTTTTATAACACGTTATCAGCACGAGTCTCTAAATATATTTATTCTCTCATCTCTCTTCACCGAACGAACGAAAGAAAAAAAAATGTTTCCTTTAAGGTTTTTACTGTTTATCTTCTTCATCTGCCTCAACTGCGCCGTGTACCCTCGCGACGAGTTGTTTGCTCCATGCCTGCTCATAGTTCTCCAACTAACGGTTACATACATCTTTGATTACTTGTTTGGTGTAGAGATTGATTACTAACCTAGTATTTATTTGTGTTAATTCTACTGCAATCCAAGATGGTGCGGTACAATCGCCCATCTTGAACTGCAAATTTAATCTTACTGCGATCCAAGACGGTGCGGTATCATCGCCTATCTTGGACTGCAGATTTAATTTTACTGCAATTTTTAGGTGGAGCGGTATAATCGCACACCCTACCCTGCATATTTGAATTTACCTGCTGTTTAATTTTACTGCAATTTTTTTTATGTGGTGCGGTATAATCGCCCACGCTGCTCTGCATATTTAAATTTCCTGTTACTTGAGTGGTGCGGAATAATCGCCCATTCTATATTACATTATTTCAATGAGAATGGTGCGGTACAATCGCCCTCCTCATTCACCCTGAAAATCTCGAGCCAGAAGTTTCGAGTGCTTATCATTTTGGCCTGAAGATCAAAATGAAAAAAATTTGTAAGAACCAGAAGTTCTAACATCATATTCCTCCAGGAATACATATTATTGCAAGTTCTTACACATCTCATTTTCTTTCAGAAAAGAAAATGGCGAACTTGGCAAAGCTTGAATTTGCTGCCCTGGATATTACCGGGAAGAATTACCTGACTTGGGTACTGGATACCAAGATCCATCTGGAAGCAGGGAATCTTGGAGATACCATCAGGGAAGAGAGCAACTCATCCTCTCAAGATCGGGCAAAGGCCATGATTTTCATTCGCCGCCATCTTGATGAGGCGCTAAAGAGCGAGTACTTAACGGTTGAAGATCCGTTAGCTCTCTGGAATGCCTTGAGAAGCAGATACAATCACCAGACAACGGTGATTCTTCCAAGGGCCCGATATGAGTGGACTCATCTAAGGATTCAAGACTTCAAGTCAGTGGCAGAATACAATTCTGCATTGTTCAGAATTACCTCTCAGATGAAGCTCTGTGGGGATATTATTACTGAGGAGCATATGCTGGAAAAGACTCTCAGCACATTTCATGCCTCCAACGTGCTCCTGCAGCAGCAGTATAGAGCGCGAGGCTACACTGAGTACAACCAGCTGATATCTGTGCTCTTAGTAGCTGAACAGAATGATGAGCTCCTGATGAAAAACCATCATTCCCGACCTACTGGATCTGCACCATTCCCAGAAGTGAATGCTGCTTCCCTCGGAGTGAACACCACATCCTCTGGTGGTGATAATCATAAACGAGGACGTGGTCACAAGCGAGGTCGATGGAATAGGAAAGGCAAGAACCATGGAGTTCAGTTTCATAACCAAGTCCCCAGGAATAATTCAGGCCCGAGCTTCAAAAATGTGAATCGCCACAAAGGCAAAGCTCATATGAACAATGCTCCTAGAAACTCTGAAGGAGCCTGCCATAGGTGTGGTGGCAATGGGCATTGGGCGCGTACTTGTCGTACCCCAAAACATCTAGTGGATCTGTATCAAGCCTCCCTCAAGGAGAAGGGTGTCGAGACTAACTTTCTCGACCAGGCTAGACCAATGGATATACCTGATCCAGTGTTTGACTTATCAGGGCAGTTGAACACAACTCATCTAGATGTTTCAGACTATATTGTAGAAAGGGGAAATGAAGTATATCGGTCCGATTGAATCATTAATGTACTTTTATTATGCTGAACTTGTAGTATTCTCAGATTCAATAAAAGTGGCATGTAAATTTTCTTGTTATAACTTGCTTTTAATTCTGATTCTCTTACTCAGAGAGCATGGATAAAAACTGTGGTTATTCTCAGAACATGAGAAATGGTGGAGATATTTGTCTTGCAGACAGTGCAACCACACATACAATACTTCGTGATCGAAAGTATTTCTCAAGCTTAATACCTACAAGAGTAGGGGTAACAACAATATCAGGACCTTCAGATGTAATTCAAGGTTCAGGGCAAGCCCAGATTATGTTACCAAATGGAACAATATTGTCCATACATAATGCATTGTATGCTACTCGATCTACTCGAAATTTGTTGAGTTTCAAAGACATACGTCTAAATGGATACCACATTGAAACAAAAAGTGAAGAAAATGTGGAATATCTATGCATTACCTCCAATGATACCCAGAAGCGTATATTGGAGAAGTTGCGTGGTATGTCGAGTGGATTATATTATACATACATAAGGACAATTGAATCACATACTGTCATGAACCAGAAGTTCATTGATTCAAAGATTTACATGCTTTGGCATGACCGTCTGGGTCATCCAGGATCTACCATGATGCGTAGGATCATTACCAACTCTAATGGACATCCATTAGTGAGCAGACACATTGCTGCCTCAAATGATATCCCTTGCAAAGCTTGTTCTCAAGGGAAGTTGGTAATTAGACCATCACAATTAAAGGTTGATGCTGAATCCCCATCATTTCTGCAAAGAATTCAAGGGGATATTTGTGGGCCTATTCAACCATCATGTGGACCATTTCGATATTTTATGGTTTTGGTTGATGCATCTACCCGATGGTCACATGTTTGTCTCTTGTCTACTCGGAATGTAGCCTTTGCGAGACTTCTTGCTCAAATAATTAAGTTACGAGCGCAGTTCCCAGATTATCCCATTAAGTCAATCCGACTTGATAATGCTGGTGAATTTACGTCTCAAACCTTTGATGATTATTGCATGACATTGGGCATTGATGTTGAACACCCTGTTCCTCATGTCCATACTCAAAATGGTTTAGCAGAAGCATTGATTAAGCGGCTTCAGTTAATAGCTCGCACTCTGCTCATGAAAACCAAATTGCCAGTCTCTGCTTGGGGACATGCCATCCTACATGCTGCATCATTGGTTCGATTGAGACCTATAGCCAACCATCAATACTCTTCAGTACAACTCGTGTTTGGACATCAGCCCAACATTTCCCATTTACGAGTTTTTGGTTGTGCTGTTTATGTGCCTATTGCACCGCTGCAACGCACTAAAATGGGACCTCAGCGTAGACTGGGAATTTACGTGGGTTTTGATTCACCATCTATCATTAGATATTTGGAACCCTTGACAGGTGATATGTTTACAGCTCGTTTTGCTGATTGTCATTTTGATGAGACAATTTTCCCGTTGTTAGGGGGAGAAAAGACCGTTCCAGAAGAACGGAAAGAGCTGACATGGGTTGTTCCCACCTTGTCTCATTTTGATCCTCGCAACA